CTGTTTTTATTTTGAATTTGGTATACTTCTTCCCTACTTCTAGACACCCATATTCAGCACCCCCCCCACCCCCACCCCCGCCCCGTGAAGGAAGAGCAAAGCTTGAAGTGCAAGCCAAGCCCTCGGAAATGTGATAGCTGTTACCAAGGATTTGAAAGTAAGAACACAAAACCTAGACTCAAGACTTTAAATGCTGCACTCTAGTATCTGAGATGGCACTCATCCTACCTCAAAGCTGGAAGAGAGAAGGCATCGAGAACTCAGACGATTTGTGCTAGGATGTTTACCTGGTGGACTGAGCTGGAAACCCCATTACACTTCCATGTGTTCACCTGATCTCCTGGAGCTGACTGTTAAAGAACTAGTAGGATGTCGGGATATTTACATTTCATTTCGACGGAATGTTTCATGGTGCCACATCCCACTGACCTCCTTTGTTCAAAATAGGGAAACATTAGTGAGTGGTTTCTTAAAGTCAAGCAGTTGCATGTCAGTACAAGTACCTGTCCACCAAACCTTTTCCTTGCTGCACGCAGCATCGAGAATGCAATCGGTGGGGGGGTTTGATGAATGCCAGGGGCTAATTACCAGAATTGGGGTACATTTTTCGCTCTTGAAAGAGATACCGGACGGTGCAGGGGTGTGCACCCAAAGCTTCAGACCAGTCCCTCCCAAGGGCTGGGCCCGGGCGAGGCTGTGGGTTGCTCTCCGATGGAGAGTCCACCTTCCTGCTCGCTGCCTAGCTCTTGGCTAGGAAGTTGAGTTCTTCACACTGTCCACTCTCCACCCAGGCCCCTGGCGGGGCGCTCTTCTCTCAGGCTTGGTACTTTCCACCAGTTTTGAGCAGCCCCATTTCAGATTGGCCTTTTTATGTTTGATATAAAGAATAGTTGTTGGCCAATTTCATCTTTTCATCGCTGTTCTCTAGGCCTGAATCCAAGCAGTTTGTCAGCTGCTCATTAACTCCCCCTTTGGCTCTTTCTAGTGTGTCTCCTAAGCTCATTGTGCCAAGAACTAACGCTTTCTTTTACACGATTCTCTTTCTCTGCTCCATCAGGGAGACAAATTACTTTCCAAAAGGGATCGCCAGGGATGGTTTAATGAGAATTTCTTTGGGGCTAGGCATGGAACGCCATGTAGTTAACATTCGGTGGACTTAATTGGACTTTTCTTTTCTGCCTCTTTTTAAAAAATCTGAAGCTATCCTGTTAATCTCTCATTTGTAATCAATTGTGTTGACTAAACAAAAGTCTAGGTCGTCTTTTCTTCCTGTCCCAGACAATCCTTTGTTGCCTCTAAATGCCTCATTCTGGAGTGATCCTGCTCTCGTAGATGGGCCCGATTGTTGACAGTTCATTATTGCGCTTTTGTCCATTTAATCTTTCTCGCTGTGTTTTGCATGTGCATGCCTTAATGAGCTCCGTTGGCAATTAACATGTTTCTAGGAGCAAACTGGTTGCTCAGACGTTTGAGAGGGAAGTGCAGGGAAAAGGGCAACGCAGCTGCCTTGGGGTTGGTTATTTCCCAGCATTTTCTCAAGACTCAGGTCCTCTCTTCGGCAGTCCCCTCCCCCTTACCGCCCTCCTCCCCCAGCCCGTTCACCAGCGGCACACCTGGATGCCGGGTTGCGGTAACTCCTGGCCTTGGCTCAGGCAGGCCCCTCCCCTCTCTTGGGCCTAGCAGCCGAATAGGGACCGTATAAGAACCTTTTCTGCAGCCAAGGCAAGAACGAGCCCCCCAAAATGTGTCTGGATGCTGGCAACTTCTCCGTGTCACTCTTTGTAGAGAGGAACCTCTAACCCGCCTAAGGCAATAGGATTGTTCAATCTGTTATGTACGAGGGCTGCGGCTTTGGAAGAGGTTTTTTTTTTTTTTTTGAGGCTTGCTGGCAAGATTGCTGAAGTGTGAGCAGTCATGGACGGAACAAACATCTTGTAGGGAAAAGATAATTGGAGTCTTTTTGTGTCGGTGACAGGATTCCCCTCCCCCGCAATTTGATTTTTTTAAATAGTTTTTTAAGGGCGGCCTCTTCAATTTAATCAAGGTTAGAAGATTAATATGCAGCTGATGACTACCTTGTTTAAGTCATTTATTAATATTACAAACTACAAGTCATGCAAACAGTTTAAGAGAGAGAAAAAAATAAGAAAACAGAGCCTTTCACCCATCAGTTCCGATGCAGGGGGAATAACTGAGGAGGAGCCCGGCTAAGATGGTTCTCAGGAGGACTTTGCAGCGTTGCCTGCAGGCTGTGTGCTGGCTGTGAACGGTGTTTGGCAATTCCCACAGAAGGTTCCCTTTTCCTTGCGCTACACTTTCAGGTGAAGGAATCCTCTCCTGAGTCCCACACCTGAGCGACGCAGACATCCTCCAGCCAGGAGGAGTGACTTCAACTCCGTGGAAGGCAGAACTAAGCCCTTACAGATACAGCAGAACCCTATTTATCGACAATTACTGCCAGATGTGAAATGACACCTTCTCAGGTGAGAGCGATTGACAGGAGCAGGTGTGAAGGTTAAGTAACAATCAGTGTATAAGGAAACAACCCCAGAGTATGAGGAAACAAGAGTTTCTGTCCCAGAAACTCCACTGAGGTATACCTTGGAAGCCCTAGCTCCTGTCCCTCTCCAGAGATGAGCAGCCTCAGAGAGAGTGTCCGCTGCTTCCCCCCCCAATCTGCTCTACTTCCTGATCTGGAAGCCATTCTTTGCCTCTTTCAAAATTGTCCCCTGGAAGCAAATCGCTCCAGTTTTACTGTGAAGGCACATTACAGAAAGAAAGGAAATTCAAAGAAACTTCTCTCACTTGACGGTTAATGAAGGTATTTTTTTCTGGATAGAAATGTATTTATTCTTTCTGGTTAAAGGGAAAGAGAACCTGACCATGATTTTCACACGCAGGTCAGCTTCTGCAAGAGGATACTGCTGTCCCGAATTTCTTGTATTTGTCCTTAACCCAAAGCTCTGGGAAGGCTCAGGAAGGAAGAGGGTTTGCCCTGGCCATTGCCTGACCTCCTAGGGACCCATCTGCGCAGAATCCTTCCCGGGCTACAGAAGGAAAGAATGTGGGCTGAGCTGCTGTGGAGGGGAACCCAAGATTCCCCAGAAATGGAGGGAACTGGAGGGCTGTTAGAACTCCTGGAAAGAAGCTGATTCCTCAAACTGGTCTTCACTCTCCTGGGATAGCTGTCCGGGAGAAGAGAGGCCAAGTTCTTTCAACCATTCTGGAATTTGTTCTGGGGTGGCGGTGTCCACTGAGATTTCAAAGTTGAATCTGCATATTCCGCCCGGGTCCCAATCGTTCCACAGCAAACCGCAGCCAGGACAAGCTAGCATTTAAAATCCCCCTAGCTTCCTCATCCTCTCCACTCCCTCCTCTGGCTGCGTCTCCCCAGACTTGTTGGGGAGGGGGGATACCAAAAAAAAACGAGGACGCTCTCCTTTCAGGAAATGGAATTCTAATGTACACGTTCCTATTTCTGAATCGGAGGTGCTAAAAATACCCCTGCGACAGCCTGAGGAAGCTGTCGCCGTCCTCTGTGCAAACAAAACCGACAATCTCCTTCCCGAGCAGAACGGGTCTGCAGGGGGTGGGGGCTGAACCGTTGGCTCTGACCAGGGCAGAGCTCTGCTTTGCAGGCTAGTGTCTTCCCTGGGGCCCCACTTCTGAGGCGGCTCCTCCATCCAAGCAGACTGCCAGCAGTTTGAGTTTCCCACAAGCTTGGAGTTCAAAGCCCCTTTTGATCTAGCTAGATCTGTGGCCCTGGACTTGTCTTTGGCTAACTCTACCTCGATTTCTCCATCCATAAAATGGAAAGATAATCTCCACCTTGCACGGCGCTGCGAGCATTCGAGAGGTGTGTCGAATGTCTGGCATAAAAAAAAAACACTTACGGTTGTGTGTGTGTGTTTAAGAATTATCTTGGAAACCTCTAATGGGCTGAGAATGGGGCGTCTTCTGTCCACCAGAGGTATCGAAGCGATAGGAGAGTAAGGAGAAAACTGTCCTTCGTACTAGCCTTCTTTCCCTCCTAAGGGCCACCACCCACAGCGGAAGGAAATCCACGAGGGCTCGGCGCCCTGCCTGGGCTGCGTGGACGCACACGCGGGCCCCGCCGCGTTTCCTCTTTGCGCCGGGAAACATTGTTCCAGAAGACGTGGGCTGAATCGCCGCGCAGATATTAAAAGTGTGTAGAGGGAGGCTTGTAATCCGAGCTCTTGATTATCCAGATTCGGATCAAACGGGGCAGTGACGGCCGGCCCCCTCCTGGGAATGATTAGATGATTAATGTAATGCTGTTTGAAGGGTCTCTGTTTTCTCTCTTAATTTGGGTCATTACTTAGAAAGCAAGCGTGAGATCATTTCATCAACGTGCTAGGATGCGAAGATAGCCATTCAGGAAATGGGCTAACTGCGTTGTAATCTGGAAGCCCGAGGCGGCGGCGGCGGCTCCAGAAACTCAGGCGCGCCCTCCCGCGGCAGGGCCCGCAGGCAGGCCCAAGAACTGGGGTCTCTGGCTGCCTTGGGGACCCGTAGTCACCACTTTGAGAGGCTTGAGAAGATTAACTGCTGGGGACTGGCACCCTCACAGCAGGAGACTACCCACCCCCAAGGCTGCTGACCACCGAGTTATTTTGGAAAACATCCCAAACCATATTTCTCCCCGCATGTCACTTTTAACCTCACCCCCCAACCCCGCCCCGCTACACACACCGAATTTTCTCACTCTCTGGGACAAACCCCTGGACAAAGCCCAGAATCCCAAGCGCCAGAACAACCACTAAACAGAAACCCAGCCCGAGTGGAGGCCATCTTTCTGCTTTGGGCCCACTGTCGTGGGAACTTTCATAAATGCCACAATACCGGTTCGACCTCACCCTAGCCTGGAGCCCCCGAAGTCCATCGCATTTTGAGAGAAAACAATATAAACGCTAGTTCTTTCTCTTCCTTTGGAGTTGCTAGCTGACCCCGCGGCGAGGGGACAGGGGGAAAGAAAACGCTCACTAATGATTCTGTTTATTGAGTCATATATACGTATATATTCCGTGGTCGCTTGTACAGGAGAATTTACATGGCTGTATAAAGATGGCTGAGAGCGCCGCGTTCTTCTGGGGGATTAAAACCAGCCTCCGGAGAAGCCCAGGCCTGGAATGAACTTCCTTGCAGTGCACTGGAGTGAAAATACGTTTCCTGAATAACAAAGGTGGGAGCCTCGCGTATGCCGGTCATCGAGGAAACCTTTAGCTTTCCAAAAATATGCTGGTTTCGATAAATAAATTCTAGCCTCTCTGAAACAGTTTTTTCTTTTCCTTTCAGCAATATAAGTGTACACATGTGATCTGTTCGGGGTGGGCCGGGGCTGGAAAGGAGGGTGCGGCAGCAGCTCTCAGCTCGGCACTGTCCGAGCCAGGTCCTTTGCGGAAGGAGTGGCCGGCCCCATGCTGTCGTGGAGCTTGCGCACGTGTTTCTTTAAATCAAAGTTTCTGCAGAACCCTTTGCCGCAAGTGGCGCACGTGAAAGGCTTCTTGTCGTTGTGGGTGTGCATGTGGAAGGTCAGGTTGTAGACCTGGTGGAAGGCCTTGTTGCAGATGGTACATTTGTACTGTTTTTCACCACTGTGGGTCAGCTTGTGATTCTTGTAGTTCCCTGAGACCAAAAAAAAAAAGTAGGGGTTGCAGTGGAATGGGGGTAGGGGGCGTGGCGGGTAGGCTCCCTGGCCTCCCAGGGCGGCTGAGTGCCCATAAAAAGAGACGATGCGAGGTTCCGCGGGCACGACCTCTCTGAGCTAAGGAGTTGTCAAACTTTATCTACATCAAGCCCAAGGCTCTCCCTACTGGACCCAAGGCTCAGGCTCGCAGGACAGCCGGGAGCCTTTTCCCAACCTAGCCCTGAGGCCAGCTTGGGCTGCTCTGCCCCGGCCCAACCCCTGGGGGCTCTGACCAGCCGACCAACTGTGCTGCTTTCTTTGGCCCTTCTCCCCACCTGCTGCCTCCACACAGGACTCTGGGCTGAAGTCCTCATTTTATTCTTCTTCTTTTTGAAGTTACCCCTTCTTATCCCCCAATCACCACCTAAAGGATCGAGGCCTGGTGTCTCAGTGGGCCCTATGGGCTTTTCACTGACTCCTGAATCATTCACAGAAGGTGGTTTTGTTTTGTTGTTGTTTTTTGCCTCCCTTCAATTTCATTCATTTGAAAGGGGAGTCCTAGCTACAAAGGCAACCTTTTCCTACAGGGCAATAACTTGTCCTCCTCTTTCCTTCCTCCCTGTCCCCCTTTTCCATCCCCCCAAATCGTAGCCTTTTCTACTACCGTACCAACCTCAGTCCAAGAGGTTCTACCACCTGGCCCTGAGAGCTTGCATTCAAACCCAGCAGAACCCTATTCCAAAGAAATGCCACGCGGAGCCTGAGGCTCTTGCGCTACTTCTCTCGGGATCCTCTTTGCCTTCCAGCCGGCTGAGACCAGCAGTGCCCTAAAGGGAGAAGGCCTCCAGCCTCGCCCACCCCGTTACCTTTTTGATGGAAGCCTTTGCCGCAAAATTCACAAACGAAGGGCTTGTAACCGGCGTGGATGCGGATGTGAGTGTTGAGCGTGGAGCTGCGATTGAAGGCTTTGCCGCACTGGTTACATTTATGTGGTTTTTCCTGCGGAGGAGAACGCATCAACAGTGAGGTGGTAGCTTTGGCGGGAGAAGCCACCTTGGGAACCCATCTCAGGGACTCGGGATCCACGGAAGGAGTAAGGGGGAGCCCTTGGCCGTCTCCTCCCCAGCACCAACGGTTAGGCTAGGCGAGAGGAGCCCGGCCGGGGGCCCACCTACCTGGGTGTGGATAATTTTGTGCCTGCAGAGCGTGCTGGCCTGGCGGAAGCCTTTCCCACAGACTTTGCACACGAAGGGTCTGGCTCCGGTGTGGACCGGCATGTGTCGGGTGAGGTTATAGTGAGCGTTAAATACCTATGGAGGGACAGGAGGGGGGCTTGAAGTGTGTTCGAAGGGGGGTCTAGAATCAGCCCAGGGAGGCCACAACCAACCCCACACAACCCCATGAGAGTCAGTTGTAAAGATTTCCCCACTGTGCTGCTCTCTAGTCAGTCAGTCGGTCCTGTATGCCTGCTGACAAGGACGACTACCATTATATAGAATAGAAAACTGAGGCCGAGCTGAGCCTCAGTTTGAGTGGGCAGTGTCCCAGCTCGAGAAGGGGGCGTTCCAGGCTGCCCACAAGAAGCCACAGCTGCCGGTCCCACCTCCAGTCCCCTCAGACCACGGACCTCACCTTTCCGCACACCTCGCAGGTGAAGTTCTTGGGCTTGCCATCCGAGGAACCCCCGGGCAGCTTGCTGTGGCCTTTCACGCTTCCGCGCTCGGCAGCGCTCAGGGTTGAGTTCTCCTTCAGCACCTGCTCTAGTGGGGCGGGCAGACGATCTTTGTGGTGATAGGGGGGCGCATGAGGGAACTTGTCCGAGGCCAGGCTGGCCAGCTTGGCGTTCTCCAGCAGAAAGAGCTTCGGGTGAGCAGACAGGGCAGCAGGGGCCTGCGCGTTGAGGCCAGACGGGAAGAGGTGGCCTCGGAGCAGCTCGGAAGGTGGGTATGCGGCAGAGTCCAGGTAGTTGAAGTAGTAGAGCGACCCGCCGGCCGGCAGACCCATGGCCTGGTTGATGACCTGAGGCTTGATGACCCTGCCTGCGGGCAGCACGGACGGCGCTAGGCCTAACTCGGCCTTGCAGCACACGCCACAGTTGGTTTTGCACAAGCTGCTGGCGCTGCACACTGGGGCCCCCCCGCCACCGCCTCCTCCTCCTCCGCCACCGCCACCGCCGCGGCGGTTGCCAGGGTGGCTCGCACGACCATCACCACCGTCAATTCAATCATGACACTTGGTGTGATTCACCGCCGCCGCCAGCCCGGAGGCTGCTTTTCCAGAGCTCGGAGTAACTGAGTAGTGTCTTGGATGGCACTTCATAGCCCAGAGGCTGCAGGGGAATCATACAGGGCAGAGGGGAGCAGAGATTGATTAGTTTCTTGCCCTGGCCGCTGTCCACCTCCAGCGCCCCGGGCCGGGGCTCAAAGGGCGCGCGGGGCTCTGACGTCTTGGCCATAATGCGCTCTATGGAGAAGGCCAGCGTCTTGGAAGTGGCCGGCGCTGCTCCAGGGCGCGGGCAGGCCGGGGGCACCATGGTCTCCAGGGAAGCCGAGCTGGCCATGGTGCACTGGAGCCTAGCGGGGCCGAACTGGGTCAGGAGCAGCCGCTCTCCTCTAAGTCTGTGTTCCGGGAAAAGGCAGGGAGAGAAAACGCAATTTAATAAGCACCTTGTCGGCCCGGGTCACCTATTTGCATTCAAATGAACAGAGGCAGAACAAAGTGCACCCAAGGGTACCAAATGACTGCCCATTAACCCCGCGCTGAAGAACCGGCCAGCCCCTATCCCAGGACTTTGAAAGGAAGAAGGGGGAGGGTTTACAAAGGAGGAGAGGAAAAGAGAGCGAGCGAGAAAGACGAGAAACGAGCCTCAAATTACCCCTAGAGCCCTTCCCTGGATCCTGGCCTCCGCCCCTCGAGCTGGGAGCCGGTCAGTGCAGGAAGGGGCAAAGTTAAAAAAGACCGCCAGAGCCACCTCGAATTTACCTCTTTCCCCCACCGCCAGGGAGATACGTTCCGAGCCATGAAGCGTGTCTTCTCTGTCACATTTTGATGGCAAACATCTTCCCCTCCGCGTAAGATCACTGTCTTTTACATTCAGCTGACATCACATGAAGTCACTCGAAGTGGGATGACAGGGGCGGCGGCGCGTCTCCCGTAGCGGCCCCTGAGTTCCCAGCGCCTGCCGGGCTGTCTCCGCGGCCGCCGCCCCTCAAACTTTAAAAGGATGCAACTGTCGCTTGCACTCCCCTCCGGAAAGTGCGAGCGGTTTGCGAATCGGGAAGGAGGGAAGAGGCAGGGGGGGAGGGGAAGAATCGTGATGGTTTTGCCGGTGGAAAGAAGTTGGGGGGTGGGGGTGGGGGTGGAGAGCCCAAATCCAAGCCTAGGCAGAGTTCCGTACGTGATTCACAACTTCGAGGGCCTACAGGTTTGGGGGACGCGGGGAGGGCGGGGGGGCCCCAGACGCGCCGCCTCCAAGGGCCCCTGGGCTTCCGTCTAGCCTCCGAAGTATCCCTTAGCCCTCCGCAGCCGAGCTGGGCATCGTGCTAATAAACTGCCATTTACCCACGGAGCGGGCGCCAGCCCCGAACACGCGCAAATGATAATTACCTCATTAGGATGTGGCGCATGGACGCGGGCGCCGCGTTTGGAGGGGGGAACTTGTTAATAGGGAAATATTAATTTATGCAAAAGCAACTAGCTCGCCTTGGCTGGCGTCGGAGGTCGAGAGAGAGCTCCCGCAGCCTAAGGACGACCTCGAGGCGTCCTCAGGGGGAGGCCAGCGCGCCCAGAGCCCTGGGGGCCTCGGCGCCCGGCGGGTGCGCCTGCTGCTCTCGGGCGGTCCCGGGCTCGAGGCTAGGGGAAGACTACTAGAGAAACTCAGGGGCTGTTTAAGATGCTGATCGATCAGAATCGCGGGTTTGCGATCGCGTTTCTGAGGCCAGGATCGGTTCTGCCATTTGGGGGCTGCGCTCGGAGGGGATTCTGAGGGCAGCTCTCCCCGCTGATGGGTACTTACTGTTTGTATAATTGAGAAGGTCCAATCTCCACCTGTTTAAGGAGCAGATTGAAACAGCAGAACCTCCCCTGGATCCTATTAAAACGTTTTTCTTCCTAAAGCCATTCAGTCGAACCAATTTTCCGAAGTGATTCATAGAGCTGAATTCTGCCAAGACAGCTCTTTCACTTTTAGCCACTAAAGCACCGCGTGGAACCGGGTTTTGTGTTTTTCTAAAATAAAGAGAAGGATTATCAGAGGGGAGAGGGAGGGGGTCTGAAGGGGGGCGAGCAAGACTTAGTGTGGCCAGAGGTACAAGCAGAGGGAAGAAAAGGCCCCTTTCTAGGCAGGCCCCAAGTAAGTTCGGAGGAATTCAGCGTTTTGTGCGGAGCGCACAAAAGCAGTGCGCTCTGCGCTCGGTTTGGAGGGGCTGAATTCATGTTTGCAGACCATTCCACCTGCGTATCACAACAAACTGCTCAGAGACGCTCCAGCACTTTCAACAGGCCGGGCGCTCTTGGCGACAACAAAAGTGGTCCAGGCTGAGGGTTCTTATGGGGGGCTGAAGGAGGGGGGCGACTAGCAAGAGAGCGGGTGAGAGAATTAGGTTTAGGAAAGGAGGAGGAGAGGGTGTAGGGTTTTTTGAAAACTTTGAGGTGGTTTTGTTCACTGGACAATTATATCTTGCCAGCCGGCTTTTGCAAGACCACGAGCTTTGTAGCTGCAACCACAGTTTAAGAGGATTACAGTGGGTCTAATATGAGCAAACAGGGTTGAGGGTGAATTCCATCTCCAAAGACACACCATCATATGGAGAAAGTGCCGTTGGAGGCAAGCCCCCTGCTCCACTCAGGAACAGGTCCTGAGGGCGACAGAGTATGGGGTCCCAAGGCTCCCTATCGATTAAAAAAATCCCCAAGTGCCAACAGAAAGGACTAGGAAAGGTCTCATTTTGGCTCCAGTAATTCACTCCCTTTCCCCCTTCCCAACTTCATTCCTCCTACCCACCCACCCACCTTCCACTTCTCGGAAGCTCCACTTCGGACAGCAGGAGTGCATGGCCAAGGCAGGTGAAGGAAAAGGAAAGGGTTGGAAATCGAGAAGGTGAAACAAAGAGAGGTCTGAGAGAGAAAGTGGCCTGGAGGGCGCCTTGGCGTCGGGTTAATTTTCTCACCCTGCCAAGACCTCGCCGCTTCATTCAAAACCTGCCTCCAAATTCAGCCATGCCGTCTCCAGTCTCCCTAAAAGCGCCCCCTCCAACTTCCAGATATCGCTCTTAGAAAGAGGGTTGCTTCTTTTGGGCGACATAATTCCCTACAGCCCATTTAAGAGCTAATCAAGGAAGTAAAAATCACAGCCCCAATGTACCCCAATCCTCATGTTAATGTGAGCACTGGGGCGCAATGGTCCACCTCCCACCCCCACTCCTTCCCAGCCACCTAACGCGAAACAAGCCAACAAACTCACCCAACATTGAAATAATACCAACACAGGCACCATGGTCTCAAAACCCAAATTTCTATCCCGACTTTCCTGTGGATCCTGGTGCAGCCACCAGCCCCGCATCCCACCCCCGTTTCCAAATTGGGTGATCTTCGATTTCCGCAGCAGCTCCAAAGATCTGCTCCTTTGAAAGCTACCTCAGGCTGAAAGGCTTCCCGCGAACCTGCCTCGCCATCCTTAAGCGCTTGTTGTGGCTGCATAAGCCATCTCTCTCTACCCAGCAATCACAAAGGAGTGCTACCTCCACAGAAAGAAAACATTTGGGTGGAAACAAGTTGCCCCTAATGTGCCTCTCTTTCCAAATCTTGGGTGAATACACTGGCTTTTATGAAAGTATTTAATTAGCTTCCACAAACTTCTCCTTCCCTCGCCTGCAGATTATATTGAAGTGGAGGGTTGGAAACTATTTTACACCTTGCCACTCACATGTTAATTAATCTCTATCTAACCCTAATTGCAGTTTATTCAAGCACCGCTCAACAGCTCACCCACACAATAAACACTGATCCTACTTTTATACATATTACTTCACGTTAACACATTGAGTAATTAACTCCAGTACCAACTAATAGTGCAAACAAATATTTTCTGTAAACGAGATGATTTCAGGCAGAATAATAGAGGACTGCAGAAACGTGATGAACGGTTGAGGGAGTACTAAGATTTCGATTCGCTGCCCCACGGCCCTCCAAATTAATTTTCATACGCAGTACTCTCTTTTAAAAGGCAGAAAACCCATAAAGGGTGTGGGGGGGCATAAATAAAGGTGTCAGGGATATAGGTCGATGGAGGGGTTTCTGAGAAATTGAGGGTGACTTTTCTACCTATACATTTTCAGGAGAGGGATGGATCCAAAATAAGCCCCTATGGAAGGCGAAACGAGGATGCATGGGCAAGCAGACGCTGTTTCAGGGGCGGGGACCCATCCACGGGAAGTAAAGCTTTCCCAAACCTGCTCCAAACTGGTCCTGCCCTTTCCATGAACTGGGTCCCCATAGGTCAGGCCGAAGGGATGGGTTTGTGCAGGTCCCAGTCTGGCTGCGGTCTCAGAGTGGCACACGCTCCACCATGGCCTCGCTTTGGGCCCGACCACGGGTCAGCTGCGCATTAGGCGCGAGGCCGTGGCCCCAGTGAGGCCCACTGGGCCGCAGGCTGCCCTGGGGCTGGGTTCTGAGGATTTGCTCCTGGGGGTGGGGTGGCGTTCGACGGGTCGCTTCATTCCACCACCGCGCAGGAGGCCCTTTTTCCCCGACCGGACCCACCAACGCACCGAGGGCCAGTTTTACATCGGCCGAGGCCTCAACTCCCGGGCACAACTTGTTGGCGCATCCTCAACCGAAGGCAGGACGTTTGCGCGTCGCCGCCATCTTGCCGAAGCTCAGGTCTCAAGGCCTGGGCCAGGTTGGGGAAACCTCGCGAGAATTCGGCCCGAGGCCCTGCCGTGGTCGGGGAGCTGCCCGCGTGGCCGAGCCGGGTGCCGAGACCGGAGACCGGGGCGTGTGCGCGTGCGCCGCCGAGTGCAGCCCCTCGGGCCTGGCCGTGGCCGCGCCCTCGAGGATCCGTGGTGCACGGAGCTGCTCGCAGGTGAAGAGACTGGCGCTCCCCTGGTGGGGGATCTGGGCTCCACCCCACGGATCGGAGCGCAGGAGTTGAATTGAAAGCGCAGGTTTAAGCACAGCTGGCGGTAGTCTATTGATTCTGCAGGGGGGTTTTCCCCCCCGGGGAAAGCATATTCAAGGACCGGCTGAGTTAAAGCAACGCCTCTCCAGCCGTCTCCTCCCTTCTGGCCATTTTAGGGTCCCTAACCTGAACCACTGGAATGGTGACTTTTGTTCTTATTTACATCCTAGGATGGCCCTCCCTTTAGGATAAGTTGTCCAGCAGCCTCCTTCCCAGGATGTACACAGCCCCAGGAGAAAAACCCCTTCCATGGACAAAAGGCTCACAGGTTTGCACCAGCCCCGGGATCCCGGAGGCGGAGGCACAGCGCATCCTCTCCGAGAGGTGTCGCCGGTCTAGCCTGCGTGTCCTCTGGCTCCAGACGACAAGGAATCTTTTTAAAAAGGCTTTCTCCTTATCTTCTCATATTATTAGATTGCGACACCCAGAGCAGCGCTGTCTCCCCAGAGAGTTGGATAGCTTGGAAGGAGAAGGCTGTTGGGGCAGGACTCCTGAGTTCGGGGGTGAAAAATGCATTCTGAACAGATTTGATGTTCTTTTGCCTTGCTCCGCCATGGGATGTTTGTGGAATAAACAACAACAGCAACAAACCTCAAACAAACTTTTGGCTTCAGGAGCCAGCCTGCCTCCTTTTTTTCCTTCCTGCCCCCCTCCCTCTTGTCTTCCAAGGGGAAGTGCCCATTTAGCCGCTGCTGCAAATAGATTAACTTCCCAAAAGAAATTCTTCTCCGGTCCTCTTCACCCTTGCTCCCCAGGAATTATTCTGTGGTGAACATTCGAGCCGGCTGGCCGGTGGCGGGCATGTTCAAGGCGCCGGGGCCTCTGCCTCCAGTGCTCGGCTCGCAGGATTAGCGCGCTCGGGAAACAAAGAGCCCCTGATCTCCGGCGGGGC